AAAAAAAACAAAAATAAACATGGGGCGATCTCGTGTTAGCCCACTACACTCGTTCGAGAGCCTTATTCAGATAATGAGGGCGGAAAATGACAAGAACGTCAATGAAGTCACTTGGCAGCGATATCTTGCAACACCTGTATCCATGCACTTGGAAATGACGCAGACCTTACAGCGCAAGGCAAGTCACTTCGATAGCACACAGACTTCCTGTAATCCTTCCGTTGCTAGTCTGTCAGACGAGAGGTTAGTTGACTGTCTGCCTATGGCGCTCTAAATTTGGCCCGACAAACAGCATCCCTATTTGCAAACGGCGATTCCATGTGCTGAACATTTGACCAAGCCTCCGCAGCTTTTGGTGCATCACATTTTTTCACTTAAGTTACTGATGCACAACAGAATACTATAATTCTTATAGTCTTGTTTTAAATTCTTCAACCTCGCCAACTAGAACCCTTGGAAACCACTTACCGCGAACATGGAGGAATCGCACTTGAACTACTCACACAAACCACGGCTCACAGTTGTACAACAAGGTGGTCGGTGCTGCTGTACACTTTCTATGAGATTCAGGGGCATGTCACCGGAAGTGTCTTCATCGGCAGCCTAAAAAGTGCAGCACTCAACCCTGCAGAATTCCACTTGAGGAGGATGCACATAGGACAATACTGGATATGAAAGGGCCGGGACAGTCAGGCCTCGCTCCATCACCTAGTCATTCTAACAGTTTTCATGGCCTGTTCGTCGCAGCCTTATTCCACTTGAGAGCTGCATAAAGACATTGTAAAGACATTTTACTTGACGTGAGCCATGCAATCGTTCGAGAGGCAAATTGGACTGCATCAGTAAAACTAGATTTCGTACAGCCGTGGGTACATAGGTACCCGATTTCAAGTGAAAGAGCGATACGTGTCTGACCGAAGCGTCATGACCTTGAAAAAGTTTCGGAGTTTTAGATTCAAAGTTTACGGGAACAGCTGCCATTGGCATGCGATTCATGCACAAGCTAGTATTCTGATTGATTAGTTATGCACAAGCCAGGAAGCGCGCGCGTTCAAATTGCATTTGTGTACAAGTCAAGAAAAAATAGGGTTAAATGGTTGAAGTGCATAAGCCAAGGAAAGATGGACTGTCAGTGCAAGCGAGAAAATAGCATGGAACAATTTTAATAATTTATTGCAAGATACTTCTGCTTCTCCGCGTGAAATACGTGCCATGGGGCGTTTATAAAATAAAAAATCTTAACATCACAGAATGTATGCGCGAACCCTAACGTATCCATCGAACTGCCTTTCTTCACACAACCTTCTTCTGACTACCCACATCATTTCTTCCAGTTAAAGCTTGGGAGGAACTCGACATTTGTGTTTTCGGAAATTCGATTCAAACTTAACTATAGTCATGGATATGTAACCATAGTCTAGACTTCACACTCAGAACATTAGGTTGCTTCCAGCTTGATGAATCATATTTTAGTACTCTATGAACCCAGAAAAGGCAGTAGTATCCTATGAAGTAACATGTTAACCGGGGAAGTCGAAAAGATGTCGATCGACGCCACTCGGACTTGAACCGCGAACCACCAGGGACCCTCCTCCGGCCTACCCCGTCCAGCCACCAAGCCACAAGAGGGCATTGGTGCAAATTTCTGTTGAGCTGCTGAGCCTCGTATGCAGTGGTTGTACGTTTCGCTATGGATCACGTGAATAGGACCAGCCAATCATTTGCTTCAGTTTGGCTTGTGCATGAATCGACTTCCGCTGCCACTGATAGTGCAATTAGAATCAGTTGTTTGTGGCCCTCAACTACCAGAGATCGGGCTAACAGAGGCCTGTTTTGTGGCCCTGACTCATCGTCTCGTTTATGTTATCCATTTCGCCCAGCTCGGTTAACAGGCATACAGTAATGGTTTAACAAGCGAAACGCTTCTATGGCGATTAGGTGCTGGTCTTGACTAAATATCGGCCTGCTGTAGATTGTGAATCTGATAATTCAAACTTCCGAGCGATTACTGGATTGGGAAAGTTCGGCAGAACCCAATTTGACGAGGCGGGAGAGGTTGATTTCTGCTAATGCTCATGATTTCTGAACAGTTGATATATTTGCTTCATCGGAAGTGTATTCATTTTCATGGGATACTTCAGAAAATTGCACCAGGTGCACTGAGTGTAACCCAAGGTCAAACTCAGCATTTGAATATATAAAAAAGACTAATAAACGACCGGAACGAATTTACATTTCAAATATTGAAACGAACAAAAATGAGAAACAAACGTAGAACAAGGGCGCATTATTGAAAGGGGGTATACAACCACACCTGGTTGTGTTTGTCTAAGGGCTAAAGCGCCTGCGAGAGCATTTGGTAAGTCGATCCGGAAGTTGATCAGGATTTTGAGCCACCAGAAAACTTTTGTCTGAGTGCCATGATTGCGGGCGATATTGTGGATACAGAACCAGATCTTTTGATGGGCTTTGAAGTGGAAGCTTGAGTGGTTGCACTGGTGCTGCCGCCAATACCGCTGTTACTAGAACTTTCTGATGTCGGTGGCACGCTGCAGACTTTGCTCCGGATATATTTACCACCTGATTCTGTGTCCTCGGCGAAAGATTTCTCACAAGAAGACAACTTGTGAGCAGCCCGCTCGGGGGATGCTGCGACCTTTTTCCGTTCTTCCTCGGATTTTTTGCTGTGCTTTTTACTGGTCCCAGATTCCTTGCCCAGTTCATTGAGAGAAGTTTTGCTACCTGACTTAGATCCATATGAAGACCATTTGACAAATCTGTCGGCCAAAGAAGACTTCGTTTTCTCCGGGGTTCCGGACTTCACAGCTGGCGGTGGTTTCGAAGAGAGCTTCTCTGAAGTACATAGGTCGTCTGGGGTCTTTGTCAATGGCTCCATGTGCGATTTCTCTGAAGTTAGTTGCCTGTCTTCGGAGCTTGGTATCTCATCCGGTGGCTGAGACATCCTTGAACTTATTGTCACTGGTACGGAAGAGGTATCTTCGAAAAACTTTTTACGTGCGGGTGAAATTATGCTTCGAACAGGAGGTTTACCTGTGGATCAAAAAAACGGCGAATGATTATTTGATGGGTATCTTATTTTTCAATTTCAGGATTCACTTTCTTTTAATGGTCTATTATTGCACGGCCAATCTAACAGAAAAACACTGTTAAGATGTGGGATACGTGCCGCATAGGGAAGCATAATCGCATCGAAAATCGATTTTATCATTAGAACAAAACCCATTGGTTACTGACAGTTTCCGCTCGATAAAATTTTTCCTCAGACTACCGGTTAATTTGGCTCCCGAAAGCTCCTTCTTCTTTGTGGAGGTATGCCAAACTTAGTTCCGCCTGTGTCCTCAACGATGCGATTCTGTCCGAAATTCACTCATTCTTGCGTGCGGTTTGTGCTCAAGCAGCGGACCTTTATCGATCTAGAGCAACTGAGATTAGGCACAAACTCACTGGGAGCTCATTTTGAGGTTGACATCCCTTTCCAACTTTTGGCGGTTCTCATAAACATTTTGTTTAGCTTCTAAGCTACTTACTCCTCACTTCAGTCGACACTCCCAAAACACGATCAGATGGCTTGTGATACAACCTTTTAACCATCGGCCTTCGTCTGTTCATTTTGGCAGAAATAGGTAAGTTGTTCCTTGTTTTTGTACATCAATATTTCGCCAATTTCAAGATGTAGCAATGAAGCGCTATGTCCTTATCTGAATAATTTAGCTGAGCCAACAGTTAATGAATTTCGAGGGTTCCTTGAAGACGAACAAGATTGACAACAGAACCAACGCAACCTTTGAACTCACTCTTTAAGAGAGATCACCCTCTTGTGCCACTTATGGAAAGACGCTACATCCAACACAACTTTTTTTGGCCCTATTGGCGTTTCGCATGCCCACTGTTTTATATTTGCGAGTGTGTTTATCCTCAATGATTCATGTGCAATCGGTAGATATCCGGACCTGAGTAAGTCCACTCCGTATTTGAGTATGCTTAACTGAGAAGGCTAGAGTGACTCTAACAGCTTTGCGCATACCACATCAAGCTTCATACTCGCTTTTTTGAGCCACGATGGCCAACTTTAGCTATTGCTAGGTACAGAATGTGAGCTGTCCGAAGATATTCCAGCACAGTTCAAACAACCAATCTGAAGACACGCAACCAGCTATTCGGAACGGTAGCTTTCAATTCTACGCTGGGAGATGCAATCATGAAGTGTGCCAAGCACTATTGCGGTTTTGCCATAAACTACGTGTTTCAAGCAATTAACTACAAAACTAGTGATTATTAACCCAGCAATTAGGACGTTGACTAGATTAAATAAGAAAGTCCCCGTACCGCTGGTTTATGCTACAAGCCCAAAACGTACATCCCCTTTAGACTTCGTGATCGTTGATGGTTGTTTAAAGTTTAATCTGCCGTTTAGCTTGTAAAATACTGGGTCAGCTAGCTTTGGGCGGTTTACAGGCATAAGGTCAAATCAGGTAAAAGGCAACAAATTAGTCTCATGGATGGACCCGTTTTGGTCTCTTCCAACTAGGTGAAGATGAATCCCATGAGGGCCAAAACAAAATGTACGCTGCCATGTCAATTTGAGATTCAACTTTGCAGAAAATGTGAGCTTTACCAGCACAAACTTTCCAAGATCTCTGAATCAGCTAATCATTCATGACCCACACAGAATTGAAATAATAAAATTCATCTTCGACGGCTGTTTCGTGGTTCAAAGAATGAAGAGAACCAATGTATGCTTTTGGAAAACAAAATACCCCCCCCCCTGCCCATGAGGGCAAAAACAAAATGTACGCTGCCATGTCAATTTGAGATTCAACTTTGCAGAAAATGTGAGCTTTACCAGCACAAACTTTCCAAGATCTCTGAATCAGCTAATCATTCATGACCCACACAGAATTGAAATAATAAAATTCATCTTCGACGGCTGTTTCGTGGTTCAAAGAATGAAGAGAACCAATGTATGCTTTTGGAAAACAAAATACCCCTCCCCCTGAAAATTCCAATTTAGGGAGAACCTCCATCGTCCCATTCAGAGCTATTGTTATCCGGTGTTACACATCCCCAGAGATCGGTAATGCCATTGTTTAGATGCAAAATAAGTCGCATTCATCACACTCAAGACCTTTATCGCCTCAGAGTTGTTAATTGGAAGATGAAAACTTCAAGTGTAGGTATTGACATACCTGGTAGCGTAAACGAACGCTGCGTGTAGTCCCCGACGCTCGAAAGACTGTCATTAGATCCTTGACGAGAAGTTGGACGCACAAGGAATCCTGGGGTTGGGTCGGGATAATTCGATACCTTGGGAAGAGGAAATGATTGGGAGGCGCGAGGAGGAAATACTCAGTTTAGATGACGGAATATAAAGTAAGTCCAAATAAACGTCTTTGAGATCGCGCAAAAGAAATGGTTGTAGAAATTTGTTTTAAAATAAATTTCATTTTTCAATGTAAACTCCAAGGGGGGAAGATGTCTGAATGCGCTGAGGTTACCCAACTCGTGTCAAATTTGAAAGAAACTAGGCTATTTATCCGAAATATCTGGTATTCCGTTGATACATTAAACCATAGGAAGTTTTCGTAGTAGCTTCTGACATTGTTTCTTTCCGGCAGTGCCGCCGGGAACGGGAGCAAATTCGAATCTGAGTTATTCGAACACGCACTACCTCAGAATTCACACATCAACCTGGAGGTCGTCTATTTATCTTCGAAAAAAAACTCGTGTCAATACGATATTACTCGATAACCAGCTGCGAGAAGCAAGTTAAAATGGCAACCGACCTCATCAGCTGATTTGTAATTGCCTGATGACTGAATAGTTTATGCGGGTAACGGCGGAAACGTTAGTTAATCACGGGCTACATAGACCTCTAGGCACTCACTAAAGCAATCTGGATAGAAACTGCCACCATATCCTGTAGGGACCTCACATTCTCAGCCTTGAACGCGAGTCGCATCGACAGTACCCAGACTTTTTGTAATCTCTTTTATGCCCCTCTGCCAGGTCAAGGGTTGGCCACCTCTTCTTCCGCCACCCTGAATTGGGCTGGCAAAACAACGTTCTCTTCGGCAAACGATGGCTCGGCATGCGCGACACACGGCCTTACCAACTCAGCTTCTGACTCTGCAAACATTCTTCAGTGGAAACTCCCTTGTACAACTAAACTCTCGCTTTCTAACTGCTTCGTTACATATTCTCCGACACCAGCCTACACGAGCCATTGTTCTGAGTCAGCAGTTGTCGAACACCTGAAATGTCTCAATTCGGCTGCTCTAACAGACCGAGTCTCACGGGCACACAACAAACAGCCCGCACTATAACCTGATACATGCGTCCCTTGAGATACAAGAGTATGCTTATTTCCCCCATAGGTGTCACGATTTAGCAAGTGTGACCTAATCCTTGGGGATTGGTGCATACATGCAGTGGTCACTCACTAAAGCAATCTGGATAGAAACTGCCACCATATCCTGTAGGGACCTCACATTCTCAGCCTTGAACGCGAGTCGCATCGACAGTACCCAGACTTTTTGTTATCTCTTTTATGCCCCTCTGCCAGGTCAAGGGTTGGCCACCTCTTCTTCCGCCACCCTGAATTGGGCTGGCAAAACAACGTTCTCTTCGGCAAACGATGGCTCGGCATGCGCGACACACGGCCTTACCAACTCAGCTTCTGACTCTGCAAACATTCTTCAGTGGAAACTCCCTTGTACAACTAAACTCTCGCTTTCTAACTGCTTCGTTACATATTCTCCGACACCAGCCTACACGAGCCATTGTTCTGAGTCAGCAGTTGTCGAACACCTGAAATGTCTCAATTCGGCTGCTCTAACAGACCGAGTCTCACGGGCACACAACAAACAGCCCGCACTATAACCTGATACATGCGTCCCTTGAGATACAAGAGTATGCTTATTTCCCCCATAGGTGTCACGATTTAGCAAGTGTGACCTAATCCTTGGGGATTGGTGCATACATGCAGTGAATGCTATTATCATGTGACATACGGATCCAAAGGTTTACCTTAACTTTTCAAAGATCTCGAGGGGCAAATATCCCTTTTTTATTACCAGAAATATCCATACTTTCCTGTGCTACCCAGAGTAAGTGGGCAAATGCACTGAGCATACTTGGACCGCACGAACAACCTCCCTTGAGAAATGGTACCCCGCATTTGGGGACCTTTTGATCATCATCATCATCATCATTGTCAGCTGTAATAACCGCGTACTCGTCGTACAGTTGTTGTAGCTGCCGCAGTTTCGTTCACCGATGATGAGCGACTCCTACTGGAATGGGTGTTCCATTCGGGGGTTGACGCATATTATTAAAAAATCAAGGCTACACGACATATCGATCTGCTGCCAGAAAACTCAGGAGCTTTACACGAATGAGACACAAACTTTTAGCTACTCATGAGTAGGTGAACTGAGCATACCTTACGAACAGAAACCTCCGGCGACACTGATCGTCCACAACGGTTGGCCATCATTAGACTATAGTTACTGCCTCCACCGACGCCAGTTCCCATAGCCAAGCTCATCGCACTTCCACGAAGGTTACCACCGTAATACCCTGAACCGACATGCCCCCCAACACCGAGACTGCTCTCTCGATATTGAGTAGCTTGCGGCCCAGGCAAAACTACACCAGAGGCCAGGGCTGATCGTCCATTGCCCCATTCCATTGATGTGGACCGTTGGGCTTGTCCTCGAATTCCAGTGAACGATGAGATGTTGGAAGAGCCCAGACCGGGGCCGGTTCGGAGAATTCCGGTAGCTGGACTGGATGGTACACTTCCTAGACCCAAAGAAGCACCCGCTCCATCGAATGAATATAGGGATTCGATCATACTGAAATGCAGGGAAGGGCAGGGTGCAAAACAAAGTTAAATGATAGAAACGGCTATTTTCACTGAGGAAACTCTGTTATTAAACATGCTTAGGTGAATGTTGTAGATACGAGGAGGATTTCGGGGGGGAAAACACTGATGGGATGTGACTGATGAGCCAGAAAACATGCAAGGTTACAGCAGTGAAAGCTAAACAAGAATTTCTAACGCTGCAAGAAACTATGCGGGAGTGTTGACAAAAAGTAGAAGAGTGATGATGGACGTAGAATAATCGACTGGTGATGATTTAGTCTTGTTTCTCTGCCCCCCAAGATCATTTACTCTCTTTACTTACTGGAAAAACCGTCACCCCCGTCGGCAAGAGTGGAGGAAATAGGATCATCGTTGTCCTCGGTGAAATCTCAGGCTTTATCTCTGTGCATCGCCTTGCATACCAAGAAGGCCAAAACGCAGCATTCAGACAAAAAAATCAGTGAGCAGACCAGGAGGTACTCTGGGACATTGTTTGTAATCCCAGACCCAAAAAAGTTTGCTTGAATAGACACCTGTGAATAGGGGGTCACGCAACATCAGAACCGTTCGTAGTAACCGCTTTTAATCCAACCGAAACTACGGTTCACGTCACAGAGACTGATGGCCGAGGTAGCGAAAATCGGTAAGCATCCAGGTGCTAATAGAGTAGAAGAAGTAGAACTGGTAAGCATGTGAAGAACCGTTTCACAATAACGCATTGATGATGTCACCTCGATTGGTGATGAAACGTTTGCAATCAAATTGCCCAGCTCAGCGAACAAGCCAACGACCACCATCTACGCTACCTGAGCTTTGACATTTTCTCTATAGACAACGTTCATTGCGGCGTTCGTTCGGCCTCCTGTCAGTAAGCTAAGGATGATGAATACCTTTCAGGACTAACGCACTCCTTATCTCTTATCACGAGAGCCACACTCATACGCTGACGAACATTCGAGGGGCATTTCAAAGTCGATGTGACTTCACCGAACAATATTGGCATTTCAAAACCGAAAATTCCAAAAGAAACACTTTTAACTCGATATCTCTGTTTCAAGAATGCTGATCCACTCAGCTTGGCTCATTGCTCGACGCTAGACGTAGGACGGTAGGAGAAAAAGTACAAACAAAACCCGGCCTACGTGGAATCTACGTGGGATCTTTTGCATTGAACGAGCAGGGAAAATGTGAAAACTTTTTCGATAGAAAAAAGAGTGCTTCCACAGTAGCTCGCGGAGAAAATGACACTTCGAATTCAACTTTTTCTGCTATCTTGAAAGATGTGTGGAACTTTTTGAGGGACGGCTTAGCTGGTCGGAAACAAATCTCTGGTTGTAGCATGCAGACCTCAACTGCCGACTCCTGCAATTCGATGTTAAATTAAAAGCATACCTTGTAAAAGGGGGCGAGACGGCCCAAGTGGATAGAGCGCGAATTTACTGGCTGAAATGTCCATGATTCGAACCCGACCTCTGCCTCTGGACTTTCCCTGTCTAGGCTTAAGCAACCTGGCAGTATCCCAGCACTCGCGCAACCTTTGGGTGGCATGGCAGCTAGGCACCGAAAGGGTGCTACAGCTGAACGATACCGTCTAAAACGATATATCCCCCCGTTTAAGACTTTCTCCCACCAGCTGACTTCATAGATGGGAGTGGAATACACATTCTTGATGTAAATGAGCAGTTGAAGAGCCAGAAGCTGACAAATATCCATCCAGCACCACCCCTGTGTTCGAGATGGGTTGTAAACTTCTTTTGAAAACGTTGAAGGCATCGTTTGCATGAACGTTCCGGACATTTCGAGTTATGGGTCGATTTATATCAACAGGGAAAAACAGCACCAGTAGACAAGTGTTGTAGTTTTTCGTGATAGTGGAGATGAAGACGGGCAAATATTACTACAACCTACTATTTTGCCACACCACCAGAGTGCCCTCGAGGACAACACGTAAATTTCACAGGGTTCAGTAAAACTACAATAATTAATCAGCAAACCCCCAGACTCATCTGCATGGAAACTACGTCGGTAGGTCATCTCAAAACAAATACCAAATCGCTGTTGCCTCTGGTTCTACCCCTGTTCAGTATCTATCTTCAAGCAAGTATGCCTTATGAAAACGAGAAAAAATTGTTAGACTTCATGCAGGACGATGAAATTCAAACACTATTCTAAACGCGTACATCCTTGTCCTCATGGAAGGAAGGGGGAATGTCAGTGATGTGGATGAGCTCCCAAGCTAATGGAGAAAATGACTAATGAAACAGTCTATGTGAGTGACACTCAAATTGCTCAAAACTCGCGAAGACAGGATGAACACAACTGGGACGCTGTGTGGTTTGGTACAACAAAAATGTCCTTCACTGGATAGATGAGAGGAAAATGCTGTTGTATGGTACTTCTGTGTGGTTAGTAAACAGCTGAGATGGATCCCTTTGTGCGAGAGAGGAGCCTTCCTTCCGTTTGGGCAAACAAAACCTATGAATAGGTTCGGTCAGATTGATTTCGTCTAGCCCTGGTGTTCATGAAAACACAGTGCAGAAGTATGGTGAAGGTGGACTGTAATATAGCATTCAGGCAGCATCACCACACACATAGATTGGAGTGAAATGGAATTCACCTGTGACTGTGTGCTAGAAGCAAGCAGATATTGGAAAGTTGATGGTAAAACACCTGAAGCTATTAAACTAGGCTTACCCTTCAAACTCATTGCTGTCTCTGAGGCGAAGGTATACAAATGTGCAGGAGGTGATCATGTAACTTACTATGGGTCAGATATAATTAAGGTAAGTTTGCAAATGAGTGTATTTCGCTAATTTCGTGCAATTTGGTTTCAAGTAGAACATAAGGTTGATAGAAACTCGGGGACTGCGCCTACCTAATGAGCCCCAAGAATGGCGAAACCGGTCGTGGGCTGTCGACGAATTTTCAGCAACCTTATGAGTAGTGGAGTACGAATATACATGTATCGCGATATCTCGAATATCGTAGCGACTGAAACATGAGGCGGTCTGGTTTACTACATTCAGTTGTCTGGAAACATCACAAACGGGAGATTCAGCTGGGTTCCAGGTGAGTCTCTCGAAAAGCGAAATTGGTTTGCAAATGAGTGTATTTCGCTATGATTTGATTAATTAAATTCTGATGAGTATGTGGTAGCTGCAGGTGTAAATTCCCGTATGTACAATCATGAACTAAAGTTAACAAATAGAACAGACTGGTGAACGTTCGAGAATTTCGCGGTAAACGACGGTCCACTGGAGAAAGAGAATAATGGTTTTTGGTTTAAACTCTCCGACTTTTTCAAGAGTGAGCAGCTACCCTTACGGCTCTGTATATGAACAATTTGGTTCTTGGAAGTATAACAACAACTTTACATTCAGTGACACTGCATACTTATGTAAATACTCTTGTTTCTACCCAAAAGAGCAAGGGATTGCTGGTCCCTCATAAAGGGATATCCTTCTGGGATGACCTTTCGTGGGGGCCAGGTATTGTTTGAAATTCATCCAGATATCTGCAAGCGACAAGATTCAAGGTGAAATGAAGCCATCATTACCCAAATACCGATCCACGATACCGCTGTCCAATGGCCTAACGAAGAGCACGCCAGTCCTCCGAATTGGTGAGTGTTGTATCAGAAAGGTTAGAAGCTGCATCTTGGACCAGTACTGGGTGGATTGGAACTGTACAGCTGTTTCAATCGTATAGGGATCCACGCCTTACTTTAGTCTTCACATAGCAGTTTAAAATTGGCCATTTCAGCTGATCACTTCTAGAGCGGAAAGGTAAATGTGCATAAATCGTCCACATGTGAAGATCGCTCAGACTTTTGGCTGATTGCATCGAAAACACCAGACACAAAAATGCACGGAACGGATATTTCACTTGTGTCCACCCCCAAATCTTCTGACATCACCTTCAACCAGCTCACAAGATGAGTAGGAAGTCGTCTGAGAAGTGGTCACTCCAAAAGCCAGTCAATACGTGATCACGTGATTTGGCTTCCGTTATTCAATGATGAGTGGCATTATGTCTAGGTTAGAGCTACTCAGGCTAAAAATCAGCTGTTCGCGGAAAAATTGTGAAGCGTTAAACCACTGACCGGAATATCAAGGGTTCGAAACAATTTGAGTTTCGTGAGATTCTCACTGGTGATGATTCCAAACAAGGATAGAACAGCTGTACATTACTTCTCGTCTTTTCAGCAGATTGGCCTCAGCGACAGGATGAAATACTCGTTGCACTTCATCTCTCTTCTTCGACCAGTTTGTTTGATGCCTGGCAATGTGATCCAGTTGTATGCTTGCCCATTGTAAGGTGAACCTGTTGGGCCGGATGTGCACAATTCATCCGGTCCTTACATGACCAGTTTGTTTGATGCCTGGCAATGTGATCCAGTTGTATGCTTGCCCATTGTAAGGTGAACCTGTTGGGCCGGATGTGCACAATTCATCCGTGTCCTTACATACGTTTTTGCTAAAAACGTTGATGTTATTAGCACATTTCAGCCGATTCACACAAACGGTGATAAGCTAACTCTGTTCAGTCCATATTTCCCCATGTTTTCCTCAATGTTACCAATTTTGAATAAGCCACCCGATAGAAAAAACAATCCGGTGTGCACTGAGCAGACCATCCAGATGCCTTGGATGGCCTCGCTCCGGATTTCAACTTGTGGAATTTGGATCTGAAAAGTCAGTATCCATCATCTCAAACGTAACCCTTTGTAGGTCTCGTGTTTTTAGTTTGCCATTTGTGACTGCTCGTCTGCTGAGACCCACATAACCGTTCATGACTGATGCATGGCGGGCACACTTAATGTCTACTCGTTTATTTCAGTATCAGTTCAATAATCCGCGGAAAAAAATCAACTTTGAACAATCAATAGTGCTTTCGGTTTTGTGATTTGAGGTCTATCTACGGAACGGTAATTGGCATTCATTGATCTGATGAGAAAATACAAAGTTACCTGGACAAAAACATACGGCAAGTATGTTCTACTTGCTCCAAACCTACTTATACGGTGGCCGGAAGTTTTTCGAAAAGCCGCGGAAACTTCACTCATCTTGAATCTCATCAGCTGGACAAAGTCCCTGGGTTTCTGCAGGTATCGTTTTTCGCTTAAACACCGAATTGTACGTAACTGGAGTTATAGATGTGTTTGGAAATTACCTTGGAACGCCATCCAAAAAATATCGAGGTATTTTTCTTGGTCCAGCACTATTTTGATGAACATCAAGATCCGCTACTTGAAAGTTTTCTGTCCAATGTGGCAATGCTACTGAAGCAAAGGGTAAACTAAAGGATCTCCGATTATCTTCAAATCCTCTTGGGAACATGCTACTCAATTTCACGTGCATATCAAAAGTGGACGACCAATGTGTCGTTTTCGGCTTATAACCCCCCAATATGCTTAGAGTCAAAAGAATCCTCCATTTTGATGGCGTGTGTAGTTCCACTTGTTTCATGCGGATTAAATGGCGACAATGAAAAAAAACCTCCCGCAAGCATCTTTTACGCGACTGTGTTCGGCTACGAGTATCTGCCAAGTGCCCTTCCGCCAGACTTTGTGTCCACTCAAATTGTATCAAAATAAAAGAAAGCCCTAGTGCTTACACTACTGCTTTTCGATATGCAATTACTTGAAATGTAAATGTGACCTGAGACTTTAGGACAGCATGGTCACGCAACCCCGCCCGACAAACTAGAACTCACCGACGCTTCAAACAGGGTACCTTTCCTTTACTCGACCGCCATTTGTCCATCTGTTTGAGCACTTCGTTGACCACATCTTCAGCTTTTTCCGTATCACTGTCCACCTGCATAGTAGAACACGAAAAATGAGAGAACACAGAGCAATTGAAAATCCGAACGTGTCTTTACAACAAGATAAAAGGGAGTTGATTATCTTGGTTCTTACTCGGTACTGCAGTTGCAAACACCACTGTTCGATGTTAGCCCTTGCCTCTTCGGCGCGATATAGCAAATGTTCGCGTTCCTCTTGCCAAATTTTGAATTCCCTTTCGGCCCGTTCTTCCACTTCGAAATGACGATGGCGAAATAGTTCTGCTTGTTGCCTGTAGCATTCCATCTGATCGACAAAACGGTTAGAAAACATTCAGAGGTCAATAGGGCGCGATGTGGTTTCATTAGATCAGTTAAGCCAGTGGGCTAAAAGAATTCTAGTTTAATCTGAAACTGGATAGTAGCAAGATCTCTTCCGGAGATTTCAGGAATATCAATGTTCCCATTGGGTGGGAATTCATAGTGCTTCAATAGACAGACAGACAGACAGACAGACAGACAGACAGACAGACAGACAGACAGACAGACAGACAGACAGACAGACAGACAGACAGACAGACAGACAGACAGACAGACAGACAGACAGACAGACAGACAGACAGACAGACAGACAGACAGACAGACAGACAGACAGACAGACAGACAGACAGACAGACAGACAGACAGACAGACAGACAGACAGACAGACAGACAGACAGACAGACAGACAGACAGACAGACAGACAGACAGACAGACAGACAGACAGACAGACAGACAGACAGACAGACAGACAGACAGACAGACAGACAGACAGACAGACAGACAGACAGACAGACAGACAGACAGACAGACAGACAGACAGACAGACAGACAGACAGACAGACAGACAGACAGACAGACAGACAGACAGACAGACAGACAGACAGACAGACAGACAGACAGACAGACAGACAGACAGACAGACAGACAGACAGACAGACAGACAGACAGGCAGGCAGGCAGACAGACAGACAGAAGACGCTTCATTGTATACATGCTGGTGGAAGACAGTGTGTACAATCCTTGCTGTGCACAGACCTAGGATCCAATCAGCTCAACTGTGTCGAAGGGTTCATAACAAGTCTGATAGGTTGGTGTATCCTTCATTGCAAACTAGGATGTGACTCTTCAGGTATTCTTCACGAGGGATGAGATATACTTCCCAAGTGTTTAATCGAAAGAAAACTAAAACGCTTGCTCCCCGTGGAACGTGTACATTGGAAGCTGATACAAAAGCGCTTGATAGAGCAGCTTGCACTCAGTAAAGCTTGAACGCCAATAAAACTAACCGCGTGCGGTGTATGTTCGCTTGCGGTATCACCTCAATTGCTGATCAAACATTTGCAACTCGACCGCCAAATCACCAAACAAGCAGCTCGCCCCGCCGTCTATCGGTTGTAAGTGAAAAGCCCTTCACCGTGGGCTTTTTAGTGTCAGCTTAGAATCTAATCGCACACATATGAGATAGAAACAGCCTCGTGTGTGAACTGATGGTCCTGTTATAGGTTCGTCTGCCGACATGTTCATATAACTTAAGCCAAAAGATTAATGGCCCCGTTGTCAACAGCTTTCTGAGGTCTGCGGCTGACATGTCAATCGCTGTTGCATCTGATTCTGGAAGCAGGAAGAGGTCGACTTCAGAGAAATATTGGTTAACAGATATTTTTCGTTTTCTTATCTAGCAGTGCCCAGGGATTGAAAACTGTCAGTCAGATGCTGGTGACGGCCCGACAGTTTCCACGAGCCATTTGGCTGTTGGCTAACCGGGCGAGTTATTCATATCAGTACTCAGGTTCAAGCATTTAGAAAAATTTTCTACGTTTCAGTTCAGTATATCTGAGCACGTATCCCAGCCTGGCCGACATGCGTAATCTGTCAGAACGCCAAATAAAGCTGGGTTAAAATTGGAACATCACAGTGGGACCATGGTTTCAATCATCTAAGTGTTTGAGTTAAAATCCGCCTGGTACGAGGAAGAAGGCCTTTGTTGCGGATCTATTTATCGGAAAACACCAACTCAACGTTAACAGACCATTGGACAGGGAAGGAAAACTCTCATATGCATCTTATTTATAAAAACTGAACATCTCGAACGGGTCTTCCTGAAATTTCCTGTCACTCAAACGTAAACAAATGCTACAAAGAAATTCCACAAATTCTACAATAAATCACACTTTATAATAGACGCGATGCGACTTTACGAGAAGACACACTACACTCCGGCATCCACCGTTACACTGATATTATCAACCCACTATCCAAACTTTAGCAGTTCGCTGTCCACGCTCCAAACACGGGACCTCTTTCCCGATTCTCCGGAAACTTACTGTGACCATTCGATCGCGCAGATCTTCCAACTCTTGCTCAACGGCAAGACGAGCGCTTTCAGCATCCTTCAATGCTGCACACTGTTCCTGTTCCCTAGCACCTTGGAGTTTTACGATCTCAGCGCGCAACTTTGCCACCATCTTCTCTGCGCTTTCCATTCGTCTGGTTACATCTTTGTTTTCCCCGACCGAGTTGCGTGACTGCGCAGCCAAAACCCCGCCAGGTCTGGAGGCTGTAGTGTTGGTGCTGAAACGCTGAAGGACTTTTGGAAGCTTCTGTTGATCCTCAAACTGGGCGAGCTTGAGCTAAAATACAGGGCAACAAGGTGTGCATTAATAGGAAAAAATCTAAGAAACTTCACACAATACCTGAGAACAGCATATCAGAAAAGTCTATCGGTTTCCTTTACCCCACACTTCGATGAGTTGGATGATTGAAAAATTGGCTGAAAAATTAGCCCAATTGTGTTTCAATTTCATACCGAAACTTCTATTGCAAGTTATTTTGGCTACTCTAAGGATACCAATCCGCTGTCGTGTTCCCGTCATTTCAAAACCAGTCCAAGCAGGATCCACTTGACGCTTGTTTTATGCCACTCAGTTGAGGTGAAAGCAAAGCATCCAGGCAACCGCGGGCTTGAAAAAGACGGGTTCATATGCTAGTGAGAGATTGAACCCGGATTTCCTAGGAAAGAACTCTGTTAGCATTTATTTTTGGTGCAGCATGCTAAAAGAGTCTTAGAGTTATTGCACTATCACAGCAACACCGTTTTCAGCGAGGCCATGTAATTTTGCCATATTTGTACACTCCATGAGTAGTCACAGTGTTCACAAAGATGAGCCTACATCTTTGACAAAATAAGTGAACGTGAGGAAGGTCTATAATTTGAATTTCGGTTTCAGAAATAGATGTGAGGGTTTGCACTTTCACCTGCCTTGGATCAGAGTTGTCGTCAGTCCATCTTGGATAAATTCTGACAAAGCATAGTTTATTTCATTTGAGTTCAGGCTTTCAGCTCACAAGCCAGGCACCAAAGTTCAGTGGTCCCAGGTGCTACTGCTTCGTTCACCAAGGATAGGGGGGATAAGGGAATGGGTGCTACGCTTTAAGAGCGATAGCCCGGTCTGCGCATTGATCAGAAGTGGATCTGTTTGTCCAGTATGACACTGTTGCTTCAGTCTGACCCGAAGCACCTTTCCAAGGAATGAGGATCAGTATCCAGGATAAAGCATACAGCATCGTAATTTATCGCATTTACGTGATTATACCCACTAAAAATGTCAAAATCACCTGTGGTAGATGCTTACCTCTAAACTGGCTTTTTCGTTTTCCAATTTTTCATACGCTCCCTGCAACTCCTGATACTTTTTCTCGGACGACGTTTCCAACTCAAAGAGCTTTGTAGTCATCTCTTGGAGTAGTTTCCTCGTGCTTGCGATCGTTAGTTTTCTGTCCTCTTGCTACACAAAAGGGTAAATGTACAAAGTAGGATATCAGTTTGGGACGCTTCTCACTACTCTCGGTGACTGTCCCGAGTTGCTGAGGAAATGGGACCAAACGCGGGTGTGAGGTGAGGAAATGAGTTAGGTTTGATAAAAAAAACCCGTCCTTCATCCCGTTTTGAGGCCTATTGCCCTTATCATTAAAGCGATTATCACAGCGATGCTACATGTGAACTTGCTTGCTTGAGCATACTTTCCATGGAGAGCTTGACAGTTTCCATCCTACACGATGTAGGTTGCACAGGGATTTCAAAGATTTAGTTGTGCATTCAATCGTGAAATTGAAGCTCATGAGTGGTGAGAAGCTAAGACACAGCTTTTGGCGTTTCATACTTTTTGGGAGTTGTCAAAGTTAAAATTGAAAAGTAATGAAGGTGAACCATTGGTTACTGAAGGGTAGCATTTTTTACTTCTACCCGAATGGCTGCGGTTTTCAGTCGCCACAAATGTTCATGAGAATATGAAGATCATCGTCGCCATTTTGTCGTGATCACCCTCAGCATACTCATTGCGGTACACACGTAATTTACCATAGCAAAAGGAACGAATGAGAAGAAGAAATGAACCTCTCCCTGGCCTAGTTAAGGTATATTGGGGTGCGTAGAAACAGTCTGGTCAAAATTAATGGTCATATCTTGCAGCAGACTTAGCCGAGCACGGGAAGGACCACAAGAACTCTTTCTTGAAAAAAATTGAAAAGTAATGAAGGTGAACCATTGGTTACTGAAGGGTAGCATTTTTTACTTCTACCCGAATGGCTGCGGTTTTCAGTCGCCACAAATGTTCATGAGAATATGAAGATCATCGTCGCCATTTTGTCGTGATCACCCTCAGCATACTCATTGCGGTACACACGTAATTTACCATAGCAAAAGGAACGAATGAGAAGAAGAAATGAACCTCTCCCTGGCCTAGTTAAGGTATATTGGGGTGCGTAGAAACAGTCTGGTCAAAATTAATGGTCATATCTTGCAGCAGACTTAGCCGAGCACGGGAAGGACCACAAGAACTCTTTCTTGAAAGACAGTACTCTTACCTTCATCTTTTTTTTACCAGTTTTCCAGCATCTTTACCTACCCTGCTTTAAACTGAACATGGAAAGCAGTATGCTCCTGAGGCAAGGACAACTCGACACATGTCTCTGATGCTTCTGATGCTGAACAAGTTCTGTCAGACGTCTGGACACTGTTCCTAATGCTGCGGTCACGTCCAAGAGAACGGAACGAAACAATCGGGGGGGGTGCTTCGTTGTTTTTTTTCAGCAAAGGTTAAGATAAATTTGTGAATCTTAAGTCTGTACGGTGTTCAAAGCTTCTGAGATTCCCTTCTTGGAAATTTGAGGAAGTGAAAAGTTAGAAAAAGCATTTGGATGCATACTCAGAAACGGCCAACCATCGTGGTGTGATATCCTGGTGTACACCTCAGCAACCCATTGGGATCAACAGGACGACATCCATGCGGTATCCACAGGTTCAACCCTGGTAGGTTGGTCAGTGGGTAGATGCCTAACAAAAACAGCCTTCTGGACCTCCAGGTTACTGGGATTGAGCTTAAATGTCAAACTACTGTAGCAGCGTTAATTCAACCAGCGCTGACTTGTTGTCAGTCTTTGAAATTAAGACTTTGGATGAGGACCTTAACTGATATTGCGTCTACAAGTGGGTGCCGCTATGAGACCTTAGCCCATTGTCATTAAAAATCACACAACTAAATTTATCTTCCTACTATTCTGGTCGTCTCGTTTTGACGGTAACCAGGTCTGCATTTTATGTCGCACACATCACGGTGGATGAACGAGAACATGCAACCACTCTGAACTCCAGTATTCCTCTGACATCCTCTCTTCGCTCATTTCATCCCACATAGTGATGGACCAAGTGGTTAGAGCGCGAATTTACTGACCGCAAGATCCGTGGTTCGAACCCGACCTCTGCCTCTCGACTTCCTCTGTCTAGGCTTGGACAACCTGACAGTATCCCAGCTCTCGTGCAACCTTCGGGTGGCATTGCAGTTAGGCACCGAAATGGTGCTACAGTCGAACGATTTTTTTACACAGTGATCACATTTCGGCGGGTCCCAGCTGTAGGCACATCAATCGAGCACCCAATGGTCTGACCAATATCACACCACGGCTCAAATATTCAAATTCATCTTTACGGCATCCTCCAATTCTCAGACAATTAACTGAACTCGCTAAAAAGTTGTCTTGTGTACAATTTTCATGTGACTGTCGATAGGTGTTCGCTGCAACTATGTAACGTAGATAAGTGATTCGTGCACAGTAGTCGAGCTTACTACACCTCCTTGCTATTGATTACGAAGTCCACGTGATCCACAATCGACCGAAACGTTGCAGAGACTGGAACTTAGAGTACTGTAACGGTCTGTGTACCTTTACGACTCAGTGAAATATACTTGGATATTTTACTCTAAAACTCATAGGGTTGCTCGTAGCAGGCTGCTCACCCGGCAGAAGTCTGACGAATTCAAGGTGTGGCGACTTGTGTTACTGTTTTAGTGTGCTGGCGCCCACCCTTTGCGTCACTGTCAAACGTTTTAGCCAAAAAGCGAGCGCTATAAAAGTGTTCCACCTCTCCTACAACTATGAATCGCCCGACTACAGATGCCTTCATAAACCATCGGCTGTTGCGAGCTGCCATCAAGTGGACCAACTTAGTCGCGGCACACGGCACGGCAAGTAGTTGAAGCTTTCAAATGTTCCTGGGTGACAATTTGTCATCGCAGTCGTTTCCTCTGCAGTACAAGTCAGTTTGGACCATTATCACCCTCACGCAATGATCATCATCATCATCATCATCATCATCATCATCATCATCATCATCATCATCATCATCGTCGCCTGGAGAACAGTTTTTCAGCTGACTAAACCACAAGAATCCCTGGCGTAAGAATCACGAGGCTATGACGATAAATGGCTCCGTGCGTCACCATCACAATTCAGTTTGGTAAGGGTGTCACTAGTTTTGCGAGTCGGACGCTTCAACAATTCGTAAGTTCATCTGGCCCGCGAACTTGGACTAGGGAATTAAGTAGTAAAATAGACTGATCAGTAGTGCGAAAATATAAGGACATGTACGTCGTGACTGACTTACCTCTTTTGCCTTTGATTCCAAGACCACACGCTCCGTTAGCCAAGCCTCTTGCTCACCCTCGTATTGCTCCTTGACGCTACGGTATCGTCGCTGATAATCGATAACTTGGTTTTGTAACGATTCATTTTGAAGTTTTAGTTCCACAATGGTGCGATTCAGTGAAGTGATGTGTTCGTTAAGTAGAGTGATTTTAGTTGTGCTCTGTTGTGCGGCAATCGCTTTGACATATGCATTCCCACTGGGTAACCCAACGAGACCGCTTACGTTTGTGTCCTGTGGTAGGCATGGGAAAGAGGCGTTTCAGAATTCAGGGAAATTTAGAAGACTGTGGTCAGCACCGACAGCAGCTCCGGGGCTGCAACATCTACCGTACAAACCAGTCAGTTCACCCGATGTTCAAAGAGAACAACCATGACATAAGGACTAAGCTTAGCACAAACATATCGGGTGACTACACGTTCAACAGTCTGAAATTAAAACTGACAAACCCAACGCTATAAAACCACAACGACTGGTGAACTAACCTTTGTTCCACTCATTTCAACAGCATGCCTCTTCTCCAGTTTTGTCCGGAGTCGCTTCACCTCAGCAACCAAATCATCACGCTCCCGCCGCATCATGGACAATTCACGTCGGAGACGATCAACTTCAGCACTACGCCGACTAAGGGTACCATCACGACTGCTCGGGCTTTCCCCACCAATTCCGCTCTCCTGAGAGCTTCCCAAACGCTCAGCAGTTGTGCTACGCACGCTGTCTGTCGCCTCAGTAAGTTTTGTTTGTAGCGCCGCCAATTCTTGCTCTTTTGTGTGTAAGCTGAAAGACCAAAATGTTGATGATTTAGCTAAATTAGTTGGGTTCCAGTGTATACGCCGCTAAAAGATGAGCAACAACAAGGTCGACTAGTCGAAGCGAAAAACAGTTTCCAAGTGACTCACGCATTTTTGACTTCCGTTAGCTGTCGTTCCAAGGTGACCTTTTCCATTTGCGAGGTTTGTCCGAACATTTTGCATTGGCTCACTTCTTCCGCGCTCTTTTGCAAAGCTCTATTCAGTTCGATAATTATGGAATCTTTCTCTTGCAAAGCGTTACGCATTTGGCTGTGGTCAGTGGAGAGTTGTGAGAGACGTTCTTCGTTTAGTTCGGAGGCACGCTTGAACTCATCAAACTTCAGTTTCAGTTCTGTATCGTAGAGAATATCAGAAATAGGAATCCGATTGGTTAATTGTACGGGGATACAGACTTCTCGTTACTGAGGTTTCACTGAATGCATACATATACGTAAGGTAACGCGAAACGTACCGGCTTAGGTCGGGAGCATTTCAACGAAGCTTTTTTTACTTTACGAGTTTAGTACTTCAAGCTTGAACTTTTCGAGCTATTTGTGAGAGGTCCATTGTCCTGTGTGTTCAGAAACCAGGAAACCTCTAGGTCTCATTCGGTGTGGGAAGCCTATCTGCGGTTGGGACATTTAGTCAGGTGACACGTGATCCATTGGCGGTACCTTTCAAGCTCCGTGTTCGGTAACCTATCGCCTAGACGTGTTTTTGAAGTGGCAAATAATGTGGGGGAGATTTTAAAACTTTAAATGGGGGTTTCGTCCTATCAGTGGGAGAAATTTATGCTGAAAAGCCGATAAACACCGTGCAGCTGTTCTGTTCTTATCGCGAATCATGAAGCCTCAGCTAGATCCGAACTCGCAACCTCTCAGTACTAATCAGTAATAGTAGTAGCAGTAATAGTAATAGTAATCAGTAGTAATTGAAGAAATCGTCCTTGTGGGGGAGATTTTAAAACTTTAAATGGGGGTTTCGTCCTATCAGTGGGAGAAATTTATGCTGAAAAGCCGATAAACACCGTGCAGCTGTTCTGTTCTTATCGCGAATCATGAAGCCTCAGCTAGATCCGAACTCGCAACCTCTCAGTACTAATCAGTAATAGTAGTAGCAGTAATAGTAATAGTAATCAGTAGTAATTGAAGACCAAAATCGTCCTGCCACGTGCGGCTGATCGGCAGCGTGTTCAACTTGTACTTAGACGTGATATAGCGCCATTTGTCCTTCAGCCACGGTTTTGACTGGTTTATCGAGTGAGGACTGCTCGGAAGGAAGTTGAACTCGTCGTTGGTAGTGTTCAAATATTTCTGTGGATTCATGAGATGAGCACGGACGATGATTCCCTGTAAGGACGAAACAGCTGTACAGTGCTCTTCGGATTTTTGAGATAGACTGCCTTCACGTACAGGACAAAATCACCATTGAAAATACTAAATTCGCTCGTAATAACATACAGATATTACCTCAAGTTAAATGTTCTTCCCCCCCTCACGCTGTGAAATGGTTTCTCCGATTGGAAAAATATGCTGCATTCAAATGAGGTACTTCAGAGTATATCAGTAGACTTTATTCCTACTTTACTGCCAAATCTGTTTTGGAACTGAAACGATGCTGTGGTCGGCATATAAACAAGACAGATGGCGAGTCTTTAGACTTTATTCCTACTTTACTGCCAAATCTGTTTTGGAACTGAAACGATGCTGTGGTCGGCATATAAACAAGACAGATGAGCGAGTCTTTCAGGTTATCTGCCGCCCAGGAAGAAGCATCCCAAATCCACCCGGAAGCGGGTTGGTGGTAATTAAGTGAAGCGTTTCAGATGGCTAGTTGATGCTCACTTTTTGAGGACTCTGTCGTCATCTCTATCATCATCCTTATTACGTTTACCCCTTTGTTTAGCTAGGGTACTGGTACATCAGAAGCGCACAACGAGAGTCATTCAGTTTTCAGAGGTCTTACTTGATGAGGTAAATGGGTGTGGGGAAGACGCTTAACTCTCTCCAATAAACTCGTGGAAATAACCTGCACTTGTCAACCGATAACCGACTCTTACTTTTAATGAGGTGAGTCAGATTGCATGTTTTTAGAAGCAAACTTTAACGACCTGGTTGGAAGAAATTTTGGTTATGAAATTCTCCGTTTGAAAAAGAAATCGAAAAACGGCTTTACTATGCTCTCGCTTCATGGAATAATTTCTCTTCAATGATCTTTTCTTGGGGTCCTGAAAAGATACTACTTCCTTTGTACTAATCTGGCTACCACTGCTTGAAGATGGGAAGACCTTCCTGTTGTTTAATCCGTTCAACTAATTGACATGACAGCACATACCGTTCAACTCTCTGGTGGTTTCGTGAAGCTCAGCTCGAATTTTCTCATTTTGTGCAATCTGTGCACTAAGGCGCCCCGATGACCCAGGTGTGTCACGAGTCTTTGCCGAGGTCAAATCACGTTTGGTTTGTTCCAGCTGTCGTAAATTAGAAACAAATGAAGGACTTTGTAAGCCACGAATTCTAGGGGCGAACCTTGTTCGAATAATGACTTCTGGTAAAATTTATGTGAATATTAGTGGACTGGGTGGTTCAATCTTCAGTTAAAAAAGTACCTGTATACCACAAAAAGAAACTGGAAGAATGTTTCATAGAAATTAGACTGCCACACAACCGGACACATATATAGGCGAATAAAAGGTCTCGAAAAGCAAATGCGCGCAGAAGACACGGACCTTTCAACCCAGAAAATGAGAAACTGACATCCATTGACTGTAAAATTGTTTCGTTAAATGTAAAATCTCAGCACACACTTTTGACAAATCAGTTGTTTAAGATAGCGGGGAATTCAGAGCAAGTCTTGGAAAATTTGCTGCACAAAGGTCACTGCCCTGTGCTCCTGAACGTGGGCGTGCTAGTCGTTAGGTCACGGACGTGTCAGATGACCTTCAACACATACCGAAAGAAGGTCCGTTTCAAGTCCAGTCCAAATTTGGCAGCGCGTTTTGAGCTCTAACCTACCAGTGTGATGACAATTTGTGTAGCACTTTTTAAGGAGAGGTTGATGTGACTGGTGTTGTTGGAGTGGACCTGTGAACCACTAACCAAATGTGCCAAGTAAACAAATAGATCGCGAATACCGCCTGGAAATGGTGTAGACATGATGAATAGACAACATCCAGTGTAAATGGGAACTACTCGCCCACCGTACACATTTCAACAAGTTCGACTCCGATGTTACGGAATTACAGAAGATGTCTGAAGAAAACTTGCGCATACATCTGGGATTCGGTACAACTCACCTCCCTTCCAATGCGTCGTTTCACACTTTATCCTCCTACACAAACAACGTTACGTGGATAGAACGGTGTAATGCACTACTCATAAGGTTGTCTAAATCTCTTCGACAGCCCACTATTCAGTGTATTGCGATATACCGAAAATCGCACCGAGTGAAACATGCGGTGGCCTGATGCTTAAAAACATCATAAATGAGAGATTCAGCTGGGTTCCAGGTGAGTCTCCCGTGAAAATCAAATTGATTTGTAAATGAGTGTACTCGTCGCAACCAGTCCAGTTTGGGTTCAAGTAGAACACAAGGTTGACGGGAACTCGGGGCTGTGCCTACCTGATGAGCCCCAAGAAGGGCGAAACCGGTTGTGGGCTTTCAAATAATTTTCAGCATCTTTATGGGTAGTGTATTACACCGGTAATTTACTTTTTAAGCTCAAGCAGAATTGTACACAACGTAAAATCAGCATGTGGTTTTCTTGAAAGTCAATCCTGAGACGCGTGCAGCAAGATCGGTCACGTGACACCGTGGGCAAGAGTTTTACGGCGTTTAAATTACCACGGGTTTACACAACTTATGAGTACTCATCAGGATGAAACGCGTAGAGGACTGCTTTTAAAGCTCGATCTCATCCTACCTTTGACTCCTTTGTTGTGGTACTTTAGATGACTGTCTCCGACTGGCGGATGATCCTATTATCCAGTCAAATGTTCCTAATAGTCAAGCGACATGATACCGAAGTGTTTTTCCCTTTGTCGGTGAACAAACTAATCAGCAAACATTTGTCCTAATAACTGCCTTTAGGTGCATGGCGCTGGCATTACCCACTTTTCAAGTTGAAAGCTTCGTAAATCCCTTTTTCTGTGCACGAAATAAAATACAAACGCTAACGATTACTACAGACCTATAAGTATTTTGTGTCTCATTCGTTTGTATGCACAAAGCAACAGTTTTGACGTAAATTTACGTAAAATGCGAAGCGATTTTGGTGATAAATGTCACGAGCTATTTTCGGTGCACGTCATATTGTTTGAAAGACAAAGTAATTGAAGTCTGAAGTGTGACGGAGCTAGGCACTACTTCATTGCGCAGGTAGCCCAAAACCTGAGTTTATCATAGCCCTCGGTGAAACAGTCTACACAATGGGGATATTCAGAGGAAAGCTAGGTGCAAGGAAGTTAGATTGTTGAAAGTAAGCCCAGAAGGCCTGGAACCTGGTGAGACCCTAAGACTACGGCAAAATCTCAATAGGAAAGCTGACAGGCACCCAGGCCACTCAATCACTCAATCAATTCAGCAAAAGTTGATGAGTGTTCAGACATGCCACAGAAGCACGATCGAATGTGAGCAGCATTCAGGCATTTCATAGAAGCACGATCGATGCTGACGGGTGTTCAGTAAACGCCTATCAGACAGCCTAAGTCAGAAAGAGCTCTTTAAATAGCATGGGGCCGTTGTAACTTTTGCCCTGGCACACGCTCGCTTGTTACACTAAAGCTGTTGTGTTCCTTGCAGGTGAGTTATTTTTCTGGCACCAGGCACTGGGGTGGAACACTAGTCAGATACAACAGTTTGGCGGCTCAGCAGATATAACAGTAGGGAAAACCGTCTAATCAAAGACTAGCTGACTTAATAATCACTTCCGCTAATTACCTCCTTCTGTAATGTTTCCATTGCTGTTTTGAGCGCCCGGATTTCAGCATGCCGTTTCTCCAGTTCATCGTCCTGATCAAAGATTGAGTCTTCACGTAATTTGAGCTCCTCTTGTAACTCTCTGTTGTCATTGAGTAGGCGTTCACGTATCTTTTCGGCTTGCGCCAAGTTATTTCGCAGCTAAAACAGTCCAAGGGTAAAAATTAATGGAGTATTTTCAAGGTCACTAAAATTGGTGACTCCAAATGTACTGGAAAATTTAACCACTGAATAAACTTTCGATTGAGACCACCAGATTGGGTTTAAAGACTAGCTGAGTGTTTCTAACGAGTTATCGATTCTGTTCGGAAGTCAATTCGGGATTACCAGCATCTGGATGAAGCGCTTCAAATTTGTCTAACGTCACTTTCCTCTTAAGTGCAATTCAATTACACGTGGGTTCATCCTTAGTACTTTCGTGCCGTCTGACACTACAACGTAAAAGTCATAAGCAGTGATGAAATTACTGCATACTAAACAGTACTCACATGGTCCCGGCTCAACTGTCTTGGTTCATTATACAATTTATGTCTATTCACTGAGTAATTCAGCCTGCAAAGCGTGTCACAGCCGATGCAGCCAGATAATGTGACCTGGATCTGAACTTATAGGGGATGATTCAATGATGAACTCCTTGTCCAAAGGGGGAGGAAAAACTTACCTGGTGGGCTTGTGGTTCCGCAGTATAAACCCCCACCTTTGAACAGTTCCAGCACACTGTCCGACGGATTATAT